TCAACAAGACAGAAAATGGCGGATGTTGGCGAGGATGTGGAGAGATTGGGACTCTCATACAGTTAGTGGGACCGTCAAAGGATCTAACCACTGTGGAAAACAGTACAGCAATTCCTTAAAAACCTGGAATTAGAAATACCATTGACTCAGCAAACCCATTACTAGGTTGTTGCTGTTGTTGTTGTTGTTATGTGCCGTCGAGTCGGACCTGACTCATAGCGACCCCTCCTTGGGTTTCTGAGGCAGTATCACTATGGAAGTAGATTGTCCCATCTTCCTTCCGAGGAGAGGTTGGTGGGTTTGAACTACCAGACTTCTGGTTAGCAGTCAAGTGCCTTAGGCACTAGGCTCCTGTTCACCTACCCATACCTGATCTATTTATGTATCCACTCACAGATTAATGTTTGTTATTAGTGAGAATGCAGTATTGTGCATGTAATAGTATTTACTTTCATTGTCTGTACCTCTTCTGCACCTCTCCATGTCTTCCTTTTCATTAGTGATATTGTGCTGTTCACAAACTTTTTCTTTATTTTGCCTTTCCCTTCACACAAATCAATACATGTCTCTTAAATACCTAGCATTTGTCTCTACATGCTCCTCCCACAAATGTACTATTTTACAGTCCCACCAGCAGTGGTTGAGAATTCCAATCTCTCTACACCCTTACCAGCATTTGCTGTTTGTTTTGATTTGCATCTCTCTAATGGCTAATGATCACAAGTTTTTCTTCACGTGTTTATTGGCCACCTGACTATCTTCTTTGGTGAAGTATCTGTTCATGTCCTTTGCCAATTTTTGTCTTTTGCATGTCAAGGTGTTGAAGTTTTCTACAAATTTTAGAGATAAGTCCCTTATTAGATATGTTGTTGCCAAATATTTTTTTCCCAATCTGTAGTTTGTCTTTGTACTCTTTTGGGGAAGTCTTTCAATGTGCCTAAGAATTGAATTTTTAAAAGGTCCAGTTATCTAGTTTATCTTCTGCTGTTTGTACATTTTGAGTTATGCTTGACAGTCTATTTATGCCATAAATTATAGCCCCTAGGACTTCCCCTAATTTATCTTTGATGAACTTTATAGTTTTGAGTTTTACATTTAAGTCTTTGATTCATCTTGGGTTCATTTTTGTGTATGGTGTGAAATATGAATCTTGTTTCATTTTTCTGCAAATGAATATCCAGTTTTGCCAGGATTTTTTTGTTAAAGAGACTGTCTCTTTCTCACTGAATGGGTTTTGGCCCTTCATTCAAGATCAGCTATCCATATGTGGATGGATCTATTTCTGGGTTCTCAGTTCTGTTCCACTGGTGTATGTGTCTATGGTTGTACTAGTCCAGGCTGTTTTGACTACTGTGGCTGTATAGTAGGTTTTGAGATTGGAGAGTGGGAGACCACCTATTTTGTTCTTCTTCTTTTGTAGTGTATTGCTTATCCAAGCTCTCTTTCCTTTCCATATAAAATTAGTGATTGCTTTTTCCATATCTTTAAAGAATGTTAATGGAATCTGGATTGGAATTGTATTGAATCTATAGATTACTTTGTGTACTATTGACATTTTCACAATGTTCAGTTTTCTTATCCATGAGCATGGTATACTCTTCCATTTATGTAGGTCTCTTATGGTTTCTTAGTAGTTTTTTATAGTTTTCTTTGTAGATGTGTGTCCCTGGTAAGATTTATTTGCATTTTATCTTTTTGGTAGCTATTGTAAGTGGTGTTTCCTTTTCAGAGATCTCTTTGTTGCATCTGTAAACAGAGGTAGTTTTACTTCTTTGCCAAATGGGTGCCTTTAATTTCTCTTTCTTGCCTTATTGCCCTGGCTAGGACTTTCAATTCTGGAAGAGAACAACTTCAATTAATTGAAGGAGTAAGCACAGTGTCAGAATACAAAAGCCAGTTGTGTACCTGTACTTTGACAACAAAGAGATCTCTGAAAAAGAAATACCATTTATAATAGCTACCAAAAAACAAAATACTTAGGAATAAATATTACCAGTGACACAAAAGATGTCCCTTTTAAGACTAAGGTGTGCCTAACCCAAACCGTGGCACTTTCAATCACCTCATATGCATGTGAAAGGTGGGCAGTGAGTAAGGAAGATCAAAGAAGAGTCGATGGTTTTGAGTTGTGGTGTTTGGAAGTAATACTGAAAATACCATGGGCTGCCAAAAGAACTAACAAATCTGTCCTGGAAGAAGTGCAGCTGGAATGCTCCTTGGAAGTGAGAATGGCCTGACTTTGTCTCACCTACTCTGCTCATGTTATCAGAAGGGACCATTTCCTGGAGTAGGATATCATGCTTGGTAAAGTCAGTGAAAAAGGGAAGGCCCTCAATGAGATAGATTGACACAGTGGCTGCAACAATGGGCTCAAGTACAGCAAGGATTGTGAGGCTGGCACAGGACCAGGTAGTGCTTTTTCTATCTTTAAAGAATGTTAATGGAATCTGGATTGGAATTGTATTGAATCTATAGATCACTTTGAGTCAGAGCTAACTCAATGGCACCTAACAACAATAACAATAGGACTTCCAATACAATGTTGAGTAGAGGTGGTGCTGGTGGGCACCCTTGTCTGGTTCCTGTTCAGAATGAGTCTCTCTCCATTAAGAATAATGTTGGCTGTTGATTTAGTATATTATGTTGAGGACTTTCCCTTCTATTCTTATTTTGCTGATGATTTTTTATCAGGAATGGGTTTGGATTTTATCAAATGTCCTCTCTACATCAATTGATATGGTCATGTGGTTCTTTTTCTTTATTTTATTTATATGATGGATTATGTTGATTGTTTTTGTAATGCTAAGCCATCTTTGCATATCTATTATGAATCCCAAATGGTCATGGTGTAATTTTTAAATTTACTCTATCAATATATTGTTTTATTCTATTGATATATTGATTTATTCTGTCAATATATTGTTGAAGATTTTTGAGTCTATATTCATGACCCCTATTTGGTTTCTAAGGCAGTAAATCATTACGGAAGTAGATTGTCTCATCTTCCTTTCACAGAGTGGCTGGTGGGTTTGAACTGCCAGCCTTTTGGTTAACAGTCAAATACTTTAGGTACTGCACCACCAGAGCTCTTTATATTCATGAGGGGTATTTGTCTGTAGTTTTGTTGTTTAGTGGTGTCTTTGCCTGGTTTTGGTATCAAGGTTATGCTTGTTTCATAAAATTAATTTGGGAGTCTCACATACTCTTATATGTTCTGGAATAGTTTGAGTAGGATAGGTGGCAGCACTTCTCTCAATGCTTGATAGACTTCTCCAACAAAGCCATCTAGGCCAGGACTTTTTCTTGTTGGCATTTTTTTTTTTTTTTTTTAATTTTATTTTGATTTGGGTGAAGATTTACAGAGTAAATTCACTTTTCATACAGCAGTTCACATATACTTTATCTCATGTCATTGACCAAAATTTACAATGCAACAGCTCCCCTCCCACTTCCTCCCCATAGTTACCTCTTCCCAGTGTCCATCCCTCCATACTCTTCTGCGCCCTGAGCTGTCTCCCTGTGCATAAGCAGCCCTTCCTTCTCCCATGATTGTTCTCTCCAGGGTGTGTGTCTACTTGATGTAAATGTTTAACTCACTTGCCTGTTCTTTGTTTGGCTGGAAACCACAGGTGTGGGTTCAATCTCTTGTTGGGATTTTTTAATTACCCTTTCAGTTTCTTTTGTTGTTACAGGCTTGTTCCTATTTTCTACCTCAGTCTGTGGTAGTTTAGGTAGGTCATGTGTTTCTAGAAATTTGTCCATTTATTCTACATTTTCAAATTCTTTGGAGTACAGTTCTACATAGTATTCTATTATTATTCTTTTTATTTCATTTTGTTCTATTGTAACATCACTTACTTAATTATTCATGCTATTGACATCTTCTCTTTCTTTCTTCAGTTAAATTTGCCAGTGGTTTGTCTTATTTCTTTTTAAATCTTTTAGAAGAACCCATTTCTAGTCTTTTTAAAATTTTTTCTATTGTTTTTCTGTTTTC